ACACAGAGACATGCTGCTGAACGAGTACATGTAGTACGCCAAGTGATTCCAAATACATGTATGAGTTTCCGCATTTGCTCAAGGTACATGTACATTCAAAACAGTGTCACATGAAAATTCCAGATTTACTCAAATTTTCTCAGAATGGAAGGTGCACTGTACATGTACTTTACATGTATGGATTTTTAATTGTCTATCTATGGCATACAATCTGAAAGTATTTTTGATACAATTCTGCTTGTTTGTGTTTTCTTTAAGAATAGAGGATCAAGATGGACAGTGTCTTTGACTCACAGAGTGGCAAAGTGTTGTACTTGAGACCCCTTGAGACAACCAAAAGACTAATATGGCCCTATTTTGGTCAGAAAAGATGCACTGGTATGGTACTCACTTTAAGGACATTTTGAGAAAAAGACACTGAAAGATTGGACCTTTTGCTGTTTTGTTTCTCAGGTTTTGAAGACTGTGAAGCTGTTTTTAAAATCCTGACAACTGTGAATTTGATATTTTGTGTCAATCATCAATGGATGAATTATTAAAATGTGGAATCCTGTGGAAGATTTGCAAATACATGCATGTCAGACTTAATTACTTTCTTGGAAAAAGTCTCAGAGTAAATTTTTTCACCTCTAAATACATATTATACTGGTATCTTCATTTCTTAGCTGAGATAAGTTTAGAACAAGAAATGGCGTCCTGACATTACTAGAAAATCATTCTAACTCAAATTCACCAAAACCTTGACCTACATCATTTTACTAAAATAGGGTTGAATACAAGATCTCTGAATTCAAATGCACTGCAAAATGTATTGCATTCTTTTGTCTTTTTCACCCTGTTACTGGTCTTGTGACTGGTCATGTGATGGTCTCGACCGCAGCACTGGATAGGTGTGTCACCCACTGATGACCCAAATGCATTTTAAATCTTTTTTTTTGGGCATGCAGACACAATCCACGAGAGAAATCGACTTTTGAAGGATGTCTTTCCTGACCTGCAGAAGTACTGTCAGGGGAAAGGACTGGATTTTGAGGTGGTCGACATGAGATGGGGAGTACGAGACAATGCCACGGCCGATCACCTGACCTCTGCACTGTGTATTAAGGAGATTGAGGCATGTAAACGGCTGTCTATGGGACCCCACTTTGTGGTAGGTGCAGAGTTGCTGATTTGAGTCGGACTTGAGTCACTATTTTTGTGACTTGACTTGCACTCGCAAAAAATGACTTGTGACTCGACTTGGACGTGCAGAAAACGACTTTTTACCAACCCAAGTCAGACGTTACTCGACCGGCCCCATACATTTTTAACTAAGTTATTCAGTTTACACCTTACGTGCATTAAAAACACGAACTTCTGCTTGCGTGGCTTCTACTTCACCCAGCTGCACTGTACCAGGGCAGCATGGATTATCATGCTGCTATGTTGCATTGACACGACTGGGATGAACAGCGCCCTCAATATGTCATTATTAAACTTAAAGGTGGACAGTATCAATCAAGTAACATTAAACCATGATTATAAATCCTTTAATTCCTACATCAAATCCAGAAACAAGTGGCTTTGAATGAAATCTCAAGCCAACCTAGATTGCTTGTGACATGCGTGCACCCACTCTAGGTGATGAAGGGCTCAATATTATTCAAAATATGAAACACTGGAAAAAATGTACGAATCATTTGAAAAACAAAACAACAAACGTTGCACGTAAACGTGCCATTTGAAAAATTGTTAAATGTTGATTTAAATCTGCCAACTTTGATCTGCTATTACCAAAATTTTGTATCAGTGTTTGTGATTTGTTAATGAGAGTTGAATATTTAGAAATGATACTTATGCATGTGGGTCCAAGTATAAATGGAGTTTATGATCAAGCGTGTAAATGACAGCTGTGTATCTTTTTTTTTCACGGTAGTTTTGAAGGAAATTTTTGGGTACAATTTCTACTCCAGGGATTTCTGGGAAATAAATACGGCTATCGACCATTGCCTCCAGTGATTGATTCGGCCCAGTTTGACAAGCTGGTCCAATCTATCCAATCGTTGGGGGTAGACGTTGAGGAGGTCCAGCTGCTGACCGATTGGTACGTCCAGGACACCAATGCCACGCCCCCTGTGCATGTCCTCCAGACAATCACGTCATTCCTGCCAAACTTCTACAATGCCGAGCAGCCCGAGTTGCAGCAGAAGGAAAGAGACAATTGGTGGAAGATCTTTGGGAGGCTGCAGAGGATTTTGCAGAGGGGAGCCCGGGCTGCCGTCAAAGATGGACTCATCACAGAAGAAGAATCGATAGCTTATTTTGAATCAGGTGAATATGTCTCCATCATGGAGGCTTTACGTGGTAGCCATCTTGCAGGGCGTTCCTTGTGTTCCACAGAGAAACAAACCTTTGTGCATACACTGTGGAATAAAAAACTGGCCTGCAAGATGGCAACCATGCAAAACCTCTATTGTCATAGGCACAGGGCATAGCACACACAGTGTATTTACGTAGAAAGCAAATTTTTGAAGCTTTATAAATTATGTCAAAAAGTATGAGAAATATGTATAGCCAGCAATGGATGCAGCTGTATGTGGCGCAGGTGATGGTACATGTATCATGCCATTTGATAAAGCATTTACGTTATTTTATGTGAAAATGAGCCCCACTTTCAAGTTTACAGCATAGGCTTATAGTAATGGTGCCCAATCTCAGAGAAACCATATAGTCACATGGTTCTTTGACGTCGTTTGATTGGACCCTATTGACAAATCCAGCACGCAGGTGGCACACACTCATTACATTCCTCTTCGACCAAAAGGATGTCGTGAGTTGCGAAAGTGCACACTCAAGTAAAGGCTTGTGCATGTGTGCAATGGCCCTGCAGGAATGGTGTCTCCTCAAATTTGTCAAGCAAGGATCTGTCCAAAATCTTCATCTGCAGAGTAAGGAAAAGGCCAGTTAGGGGAATATCAGGGGACACGCTATAATTGTTTAGGAATTGAAACACCTTAGATTTGGTACGAGCACCTTTTGGAAGGGGAAGGTTGGTTCTTTTAGAGATGGAGAAAAACATTAGAACAGTTGTTGTCTTTTTTTTTCCCAGAAAAAAATCCCCATGTGCCCCCTTACCGGGACCCTAGACCCAGATACATCGTTTGTCCCAATTGAGAATATGACAGTGTGAATAGCTTCTACCATGCCATGGATCACAAGGAACCCTCAAAACAGTTTCTTCCCACAAACGTCTCTGACAAATCTCATTTTATTTTGTTAATTTCACAGAAATGATCGCTGTCAGCGGCAAAAGATTGAAGAAATATCATCCTTGATTGGTGTCAGTTTTGACCTCAAATATAGACATTTGCCTTGTACTGTCAAAGGGGTCATACTTTCATCAAGTAGACATGCTGTAGTGGTGTTTATATTTTGTATTCCTAGATGTGTTGATAACTACGTGTACCTGAGATATTTTTCACAAAAGGGGAATTTGCCTTTGTACTGATGGCTGTCCGTGTAGTTGCACAGTCACTTGAAGGCAAAACTTTGACTACGACATAGATCAGTAGAAAAAGTAGACCATGTTTTCCAGAGGCACTGTCCACATTGCAATATCCCTGTTACCCATTATGTTGCCAACATATCCCTGTTGCATGGCCGTGGCACATCAGTAAGATTTCTTTGCAAATGGCTGTATTTTGTCGCCATTTGTGAAATAACTGTTACCGTACTTACAGTGCGTTTGATTACTTCCCTGTGTTTAATTGCACGAGAGCAACTGCGTTCGATTTGACACTCACATGATGTCTCACGCTTACTCCAGCCTAACTAACTGACTAAGTGACTAACCAGCCGAGATGGTTACTTGGGGAAGTATCCCACAATACCGTGCAAAAACATGGCAGCGTAGTTGAGCGTTACAGAGAAAAGTTGACACTGTTGTAAATAATTTAGAAGAACGGTTGAGTTTAGTGGCATATTGGCTCTTATCAACTAAGTTCCCTGAGAGAAAGGCAAGAAATGTGTGTTAAGATGTCTGTAGCTTTCAACTTCTCGGGTTAATTTGGAAATTCAAACGATGCTTGACCTTGTGACCTATTCTGGGCTCTTTAAGTCATCTGCGATTGTTCGTTTGTTACCACATATTTGCATGCTTGCCAGAACCTATGACAATACCAAGGGTAAGCGCAAGGGAAGGTACTGTTTGTCCTGATCTTACTTTTTGCATGTCCCCTCTTTGCAGTGACTGAAATTGAAGTGAGGCACGGTTTGATGGGCGCCGTCGACCCGTCTGCCAGCTGTCTTTTCTTCCTACGTGATCTGGAGGGTTTGGGTGTCAAGATGGAAGATGAGGCCACAAGGTTCTACCTGGACATTCATGAAGATGGGTTGGTGCTAGACGATTTCTGTTTTTGTGAAAACAGCTACGGTTATAAATTGAATAAATCAACTGCAAAGTTAGGGAAATAATAAGTAAAAAAAAAACTGAACTGATTGTTCGAGAATTGGCATAAATACTTCTTGGAATCCTAATTGGTTCTGATAAACAAAAACAGTGAAAGTGCTTTGTGCACAATGCTATTGTTAGGATTTCCCTGGACAAGTGCGGATTTTTAGAGGTTTCATCATTATTAACCACTTGCTGCCGGGCGGAGGCCAACCTTTTCACAAGAGTCAACATGCGGCGCTATTTTGGTCTGATTTTGCACTGTTTTCTAGGCGCGGGTATTTGGTGTAGTGCAACCCTAAACCCCATCGAGTTACTGTCTGGTGTCTACTCTAATCTGACCTACAACATCTATTGATCCCCGAGTATTTCAGCTAGGCCTGCCGCCTTGTAAAAAGAGCCTGGATTGTTCAGTGTTATGTAATTTTCTTTCGTTCCCGAAACTGGCAAAGTGCACTGCTGGTGTCTTTTTAATAGGGGCCAGATTAGTATTGTATCGCTCACCACTGGAGCACTTTTGTCCCCAGTGGTAATCCGCTCGTGCTGAATACCACAAACAGTGGTATAATTTTTCGAAACAATGATGGATTTTCTCCGCAATTGATAACTGAAAAAATGTTTGCAAATCCCACCAGCTCAGTCTTTTGTTTCGAGAACGGTCTTCTGTTACAAGGCCCAGCTCTCTTGTCCAATTTCGGGCACCCCGGCTTTGCATAGAGAAACATACACGTACCCAAAACCGGGCTCCCCAGCAGCAAGTGGTCAAGGCCTTGCTCGTTTTTTACCTTCACCCCTCACCCCCCCCAACCCACACCCCCATTTGTACAGTGCCACCAAGTAGCATCTGCCTTGTGAGAGTCCCAAATTCACATTTATACCGGCTCCCTGCATTCCACGTTACCCTGCGCCTTACATATCACACATGCACCAGTTTCGGATATTGTTCCCAACTACATGTACTTGTTAGAGGCACATACATATTCATGTATACGTACCAGAACTAGACGGGTGTTTGACGAAAATGAAATGAAATTGTTGACCGAAATCATTTGAAATTCAGGATTTTTTTAAAACTTGTTTTGACTCGCCGACTCAAAAACTATTTATGATTGAGAATAAATCTGTACTTGGCAAGTCTTAGACAAGCTTTACAGACCGGCTCAGGAGAATGAATGCTGATCATGTCCCTTTGGCTCGGGTCATTATCAACGTCCATTTTTCGAGTCCGGTCTTAAATGAATGTTTACCGCCAGCCAAGCACATCTTTATTGTGAATAGTCACAGCATTCTATTGCCCTCGCAACCACCCTTCAACCAATGTTGACTGGATGTTTCACTGATTTCTTTTCTTCCTCTGATCTAACCCCTACAGTCATTAGCACATTGGTATGGTATCCAGAAGGCCGTGGGTGCAGATCGGTGATCATACTCTCGGAATTTGGGCACCAGAAGTGAGAAACCCATATAGGGCATTGCATCTGAGAGTTTACACCGTGAATTGGAGGGGGAAATTTGGCGAAAAGAGTTCACTTTCATGTTCACATTTCAAAAGGTGTGAGAATAATTTCCCACTTTGGGAAAATCTTTGAATACAGTGTATCTATTTCCACCGTGAGAAACATTTTTCACAGTTTGTGAAATGAAAATGAGTTTCCCTTTCTGAGATGAACTTCCTGTCACAATGTGTGTAATTTCTCAAGCCGGAAAAGTATTGTTGCACTTCAAACTTTCTTGTCTTGAACAGTGAAGTCGACAAAGATGCCCAGGCCTCCTTGGCGAATCTCAAGACCAATTACCTGCCATCCATCGTGGGAGAGGAAGCCATAGATAGGTTCACCCTTCCCTGGACCCCGTCCGGTATCGACCCCACCCACCCCGTGCACGCCCGGTACCTGGACAACATCTGTACCAGGTTTAGGGAAGGCATCAAAGGCATGATTGACAGGAGCTTGGAGCAGAGGTCAAAGGTGAAAAATAAAGCCGCGGCTGCTCTCTATGAAGAGCTCTTGCATCACGCTAAGTTTTGTGAAACAAAGTGCAGGTAAGATGTTCAAAGATTTGTTCATGGGGAGTTATGTGAAATAAAATAACACCACTTCTTCAGGTGTTTAATATGTTTCATGGAAATGTAGCAATGCTTGAATGGAATTCATTTCAATACAGGTCTTACGAGTAGTCCTTTGTGTATCATTCAACTTGATTTTCAGTTTTTGTTTTGCCATTCTAACCAACATTTTAGGAGCTGTTTTACTTTCATGCAGAAAAATATTTGCATATATTTATTTTCAAAATTTTGATTGCATCCAAGGCAGAAACCTCAAAGTAACAACTATTAGCCTACAAAATTTGCCTGAACTGTTGATATTTTCCAGTCTTAAATTTCGTAAACTTTGATTGTTGTTTTTTGTTAGTTAATGACAGTTAGCTAGTGAGCAAATACCTTCCCTAAGCAAATTTTCAATTCAGAATTTGAGCAGAACCCTCCCAAATGAAAGTGTCCTGTGAAGACATGACAGCAACAATGCACTTGTTTTTTAGGACAGAATGGACAACTTTAAAAGCATATCAAAAATGTGCAGTTGTCAATGAGTCTTAAGAGTAGAAAGTTGCACAAAATATGCTTCCTGGTGTTGAAGTGGACTCTTCAATGACACTGGAATTTGGGTGTCACTTGAATTTGACTCTGCAGCGTGTTCCATGGACGGCAGGAGCTCATGACCAACATCCGGGAGTTCCTGTCACCCAAGCCGGGCAAGCCGTTGGTCGTACACGGAGTCTCAGGGTCGGGCAAGACCTCGGTCATGGCAATGCTGGCCAGGAATGCCTGTGACTGGCTGAAGCAGGAACTGGTGGTGATACTGCGATTTCTTGGCACGTCGGGGCCAAGTACCGGGATACACTCTGTGCTTCAAACGATATGCGGGCAGGTATGGATTGGGATTTTCTTTGGGACTTCATTAAAGACTTCATTAAATTGGCTGCTATTATTTTGAAGGAAATTTTGTCATTGTATTAGATCACCCCTTTTCTTGGATGTTTAAATATGATCTTTCTCCTGACTCCTTGTCCTTTCTGAAAGTCTCTGCAAGAAAAGGATGATTACCAATCAAACTTTCCAACAACAGTTTATGGAAGTGTATATCTCAATCCTTCCCGTCCTTATGTACATTTGGCATGCTCTTTGGCATGCTCTTGAAATGGAAAAAAAAGGATGACCCTCCAAGAAAAAGCAGACTAAAATGTATTAACAGGAGGTTAAAGTTTTCACAATTTGAAACTCTTTTGAAGTGAGTGATTATAACACATGATCGTAGAATACCTTGTTCCACAGTTGCCTGAGATTTGATCTTAAACTCATTTTTTCATCATCTGATGATATACATGTAAACATATAGAGTTTCTGTCTTGTCTGCAGATTTGCTACGCTTACAATTTGGAACAACCAGACTGTACCACTCTTCATGATTACACAGAGCTAACAAAATTCTTCAGAAAGCTCTTAGCCACTGTGGGCACAGCGGAGAGGCCTCTGTTGCTGATTTTTGACAGCATCGATCAGCTTTCTGCTGCCAACGATGCCCATGCCATGAACTGGCTGCCCATGTCATTTCCATCGCATGTGCTGATTGTGGCATCCATGCTCTCTAAGGACGAGCACAGATGCCAGGAGAAGATTCGACTTCTCCTCCAGGACGACGGCTGCTATCTCGAGATGCAGCCAGTGCCCCAAGAGACTGGGCTTGAGATTCTTAGCAGCTGGCTGGATGCCAAACATCGCAAGCTGACAGAGGATCAGCTGGCCCGAGTATCCGAGGCCTTCTCCAAGTGCCCTCAACCGCTGTTTCTTAAGCTGCTGTTTGAACGAGTCCTCCACTGGAAATCCTACACCAGCACGTCCTCCGAGAAGATGCTGCCATCCAGTGTCCGCGAAGCCATCACGGACCTCTCTGAGGAGTTGGAACACCGGCATGGTCAGATCGTTATCTCGCACGCCCTGGGTTACATCTCGGCTACCAAGAGTGGCATCACAGAGGCAGAAATTGAGGACGTCCTGTCCTGTGACGACGAGGTGCTGAACGACGTGTACCAGTATTGGGACCCCCCTGCGGAGAACATTGTGCGAACACCGCCCTCTCTCTGGAAGAGAATCCATTATGATGTCAGCGAGTTTTTGTCTGAGCGTCAGTCAGGAGGTAAGCACGCATTTTGCCTTTGTCAGTTTGTTACTTTGTAACTTGAAACGAACTGTGATATAGTGGCTCTGCACATGCTGAACCAAAAAGTCTACTTCTGTCTCCCAGGTTGAAGTCATTGACTTCATGATGCTTTATTGACTACAGTGGTTTGAAAAATTATGACGGTTGTTCAGCAAGTGAAGTTGATGCCAACTGACGAAGAGAAAAACATTCTGAAGTATCAGAGCGTCGGATGTTGCAAAATTTGATTGTGAAAGCGTGGCTAGTAAGTGGAGCTGTGTCAGTTACTTTGTAATGGAATTGCATGACATCATCCTTTTCCGACAGGTTTAGTGTTTGCTTACATTGATTTGAGCTCTCTAATGACAGTTTACTTGCACTGTGAATTACTTTATCAAGGCCTATCCTCAAAGCCTATGTCGGGGTCTTGTGCCCTTGGGAGATTTACAGTAGGAGAAAAATGAATAAGGGCCTTAATTGCCCACAAAAGGAGAAAAGCACCACCCCTCACACAGGGGGATGAATGGGGCTCAAGCTTTACATTGGCGGTGAGCAGCCATCGCTGTGATGCCCCAGTGCACTGACTGCATTGCTATCTGAGAGTAATCCTTACCATTCACCAATCTAGGAAAGCAAGAGGTTTCCTTCGCTGTTGTTACACTGTAGGTTAATCCAGTACCCACAGTCCGGTTGTATGTCGCTTCCTCACAAGTAAAACGTATTGTCATCAACATTCTCAATAAGCCATGTGCGAGTTAAATTTGAATAAAATTGAGAAATGTAAAACAGTGCATATTACCAGATCTAGAACCCTTGCTTCAAACCTTGTATTAATTAAAACCCTGGTGTCAACGGCGCAGTGATAGAGATCAACACATATCACCAAATATGGTCATATTTTTTTTTTCAATGGGCCAATTTGGCAAAGATTTCAAGCAATTCTTACTCCAGGCACACACAACAAGTCTGTAGACTCCCATTGGCCAGACCCCAACCACTGCAGAGTAAGAATTGTTGAAAGATCAGTATCCCTAAGACGCCATACGACCGGGAAATGACTTGGTAGTTTTAAAAAATCCATATCGCTACTCGGAGTTATTTGGGGGGCGTGGCTACAGATGTACTTCAGCAGCATAATGAAAAGTAGTTAGAGAGGGGACCTGAAGGATGTATTGGCTACAATCAGTCATACATGTTCAGGCATGACCAGATACATCCTGGAGACAGAAATCACCACATGGAGAAAAAAATCCCCACATGGAGGATTAGGGATTTTTGTGGACATGGCTGCTCGGAGGGTTTTAATAACAGTGTTTTCAAAGTCACTTAATTCTCACAAATATTTTTGGTTTGTTGTTTTATCTGACCTCTCATGGTTCCAGGCATATTGACTGGACAGTTGCTAAAGCTTCTTGAGTTTCAGGTTTCTTCACTGTATTTCCTTTGGGTCAAATTTTGAATCTCAAGAGTAAGAGGGTTTTGTGACAACTGGACAAAGGGCTACATGTATGTCTGCCCATCCTGTAATACCGTGTACATGTCCATACATCAGTGTGATCTCATTTATTCACTTGAGTGCATTCAACAAATATTGATTACACAGCAGATTTCTTTTCAAGGTGTTATTTCATTTGGTGCACTGATCATTAAGCTAACCTAGGCATCTCTTCGCTCCACTCAAGAATGTGGTATTTTTAATTTTCATTTGTTCGTAAGTGTCTGCATGGTGTATATGATGTACCAGTTTTTTAATTATTTTCAACCCATCTTGTGACAGAGCGATTTTAAACCAGTACATGCACTTAATGGCACATTTTAAACTGGATAGGGCTCTTGACTAGGCATACATGTGAAACTGTCTGAAGTATTACGAAGTCCACTTCATGCTTCGTTAAGTTGTAAGTGCACCTGTGCAGATTGGGCTTTTAGGTGATTTCTTTTCATTACATTTATTTTGTTTCAAATTTGCTTTGGATTGGCAGGCAAGACTGTTGTTGCATGGTATCATCGTCAGTTCATTGAGGCAGCAGATGACCGCTACCTCAGCCGAGAAGAAATTGTCTCGGCACGCCACCAACTCCTTGCAGAAATGTTCCTGGGCTCTTACAGTGTAGGCACGGTTCGACCGATCACCTTGCACAAACGCAAGAAGGTTTTTTCAGATGCCGATCGGCAGGTGGCACCGCAGCCCTTGGAGTTCAGCAAAGGCTTCTACAACAGGAGGAAGCTGATTGAGCTGCCCCATCACCTGGCCGAGGCGGGCATGCTGGCGGAGTTGATCTCTCACGTTCTCTGCAACTTCAACTGGCTCCTGACCAAGTTGGTGTCCTTCAGCTTCCTAGAGCTGATGACAGATTTCCACCAGGTCAGCGAGGAAATAGTCATCCTCGTAGAGACCATGTACCTGGCCAGCAGTAACCTCAAGGCTGATCCCTACTCCCTGGCTGGACAGTTGATTGGACGGATTGGTGATTATGGCAGCAAATTTCCTAACTTGGGGATGTTGATTCAGCAGGCTAAAGATTGGATGAGGAGCACTAACCGCCCACTCTTTGTTCCCTGCGCACCGTGTCTGATACCTCCAGGAGGGCCCTTGCGCACCGTCTTTGGAGGCCATCCTAGTTTGGTCTTGAAAGTGATGTGCACACCATCAGGGGAGCTGATGCTGTCTGCTTGTCTGGACTCAGAGGGTCACCCAATGTTCAACGTCTGGAACTTGTCCACTCTGGAAGTTGTTCATACATTGCAGAGGAAGAATGACAGGGCTCCTCTGGTCAAAAACAGCAAAGTAAACATGTGCGTCACCCACAGTGGCCGATATGCAGTCTTTGGCAAGAACTCCCTGGCAAAGTTTGATTTGGTCACCGGGGAGTGTCTTGGGGAGTTGGAAACCGATGGCCTGACGAGCTTTAGCAATCTCCAGGTTGACGACGAAAATTCCAAGGTATTTGCTTGTGCTGAGCCAGGGAACTTGGCATGCGTTTGGAGCTTTGCTGACGGCAAGAAAATCGCATCCATGCAACATCCTGAAGAGGTTATCTTCATCATTCCAGTACATGGAGAAAACCTGCTCTCTGTCTGCAAAGAAGGGAAGCTTAGATTGTGGTCTTTGACATCATATGAGTGCACAGTTTGCCAAGATGGGTACGATGATGGCAAGAGGGTGACCTGGGCTGGTCTTAACCCAGACGCTAATCGTCTTGTGACAGGCAGCTCAGATGGCCAGATCAAAATCTGGTCAATGCCGCTGTCTTTCCCTCCTCCATCCTCAGGATGCTTTACCTTAGAGTCAGAGTTCTCAGCATCCGTCAAAGAGCCACTCTTGAGTGTTGTGGTCCACTCAGACTCTACCTTTGTGCTCCGAGACAGCAGCAGCATCTCTCGAATCTGTCACCTCATCCCGGGGGAGGATCCAACGATCATTGACCTGAAGGGACACGATGGATTGATAACGTGCACCTGGACTCATCAAGGAGTTTTGGGCAGTGGCGACGGACCGTCGTTTTTGATCACCGGGTCAAAGGACGACACCTTGAAAGTCTGGAACCTGGAGGACGGGAGATGCCTCAACACACTGAAGGGGCATTCATCCTGGATTTCTGATGTTACTGTAGTGACCATGGCAGATGGTTCCCGAGTATTGTCAGCCTGTAATGACAAAACTGTGAAGATGTGGATACCAACCAAAGGAGAGGTAAATTTACTTCAGCAAACTTACCAGATGATAAATTTCAGCTTTAAAAAAAAAATCCACATAGTTTTATGTGTATACATACATGTAATTAATTGAGGCCAGTTTATACCGTAGTCGATAACATGACTGAAAATTGGAAATTATCCCACATGGAGTTCATACATGTAGTTGTCACCGAAGTGCTAGTGACCAGTCAATGAAGGACATTGGCAACGTCACATCAAAGTCCAAATGATTGAAGTTTGACATAGCCACTGACCTAATTTGTCATAGTTGGGCTAGTGCGCAAGTGGTCATCACACATAACAGTTTCATGTGTCCCTTCTGCTTGTATGTTTCAATATTTATGAAGAGATGTGGTGCGAGGACTGTGAAGTACCCCATGAGGCTACACTGCCTGGTGACCGTCAATGCCTGGCACGCACCATGACATGCCTTAAGCCTTACTCTTGATTTTTGTTGCTGAGAATCTTTGTCTATCAGTGTCCTGCAGGAGCAGCAATGGCTTACATTTTTCAGGAGAAATTGTATTGTGCGGATTTTTCAATCCTTTAACACAGGTGGTTTTCTACTGGTAGAAATTATCACAAGACCAGAAAAGAGACGAAACACAAGACAATATACAGAACCATTTTCAAGACCAAACACATGTCTGACTAGAGATCAAACACAGGACCAGAAACAACAAAAGGCACAAGACCAGACACAAGACTAGGCACAAGACCAGACACAAGACCAAACGCAAGACCAAACATAAGAAAAGACACAAGACCAGACACTAGACCAAACAGAAGACAATACACAAGACCAAATTCAAGACCAAACACAAGACCAGACACAAAACCAGAAACAAGACCAGACACAAGACCAGGCACAAGACCAAACACAAGACCAAACATTAGGACAGACACAAGACCAAACTCTAGACCAGACACAAGACAAAACACAAGCCCAGGCACAAGAACAAACACAGGACCAGACACAAGACCAGAGAGAACAGATAGACACAAGATCAAACACGACACCAAACTCAGAAACAAGTAGCGGAGTGAACAGTGACAAAGGAATGGTTTGTTGCAGTTTAGTTGACTAGCCAGCAACTTGAAGTCAGCAACTGGAGGTCTTGTGTTGGTCTTGTGGGGTCATGTGGTGGTCTTAATATTATTGGTCTTGATTAAAACATTTTTTCAACATTCATAACATTCTTTTGAATTCTTCATGGCCTTAAAACTTGGGGGCTTGGTAAAGTTTTCATATTTATTTGTCTTATTTTAGGTGACAAAAAGAGACTGTCATGAGCTATCTGGCCAATGCGTAGCATTGTATAAGGGTACAAGCTCTGTAATCGGTGTGTCAGGAAGTAAGGATAAACAGACTAAGTTCTGGAACTTGTGTTTGGATGATGCCGAATGCTTCAAGTCTATAAGCTGTGCTTCTGTTGTCATGGAGATCCTGGAAGCGCAGGAGACTGTAGTCTGTGGCACCGACACTGGTGAGGTGGTAGCTTTCCAGTTAGAAACAGGCTCCGAAGTCTGGCGCCGACCTCTCTTCAAGAAGGGCATTACAGCAATGGCTCTGGCCCCGAGGCAGACCATTCTTGTCGGCTCCAAGGATGTGTCTGACAAATCGGTCAGGGTGTGCGACGGGTCAAACCAACTGGAGGAGAAATTTCGGCTGGACGGTCACTCAGAGGCCACCACCATCCTGAGAGCAGTGATCAATCAGGAGAATCCAATGTACCTGTCTGCCTCCAAGATGGCTGGAGAGGTCAAGGCATGGGATGACCTTATGGGCAACTGTCTGGCTACTATGACACATGCACAGGTAATCTATGAAAAAGGTTCATTAAACCCTTTTATTCATGAAAAAAATTAGGTTCAGCTTGTGAGACACACGGTCTGGTTTCCTACAAGTAAAACCAGCTTTTTTAGTGATGGAGAAGTAGAGAGCATTTCAGCCCCACACCGTAACCACTCCAGCAGCATGATAGCTGACTGTTGTCAGCCTGCGTCAGAATACACTTCAGGCATTATTTTGTGCTGTGCCACGTTTTACAGTCCATCGGTCACATGCAGGAAATTCACATTCTGCCACTAAAAAGAGTTCAAGTCACAGGAAGTAGCTCAAAAAAGAATTGATTGTCAGTACAGCGCTGGACACAGTTTGAATCAAACGACCTTACAGATTTTTTTTTCCCCAGCCATCTTGGCAAGCGATTCCATTTTTGTTTGGTGCGACAGTCATTTCTGTAGGGCCTTTTGTTTAGTGCATGGGACACGTTGCATGGTCGTCGAGCGCGTCACCTTGCCCTTACCCTTCTTAACCCAGTTTTGCCGGCAGACGGGCTACGTTTGACCACATTTTGAAGGCTTACGCCCAATCTATCATCCTCTAAATGGTTGCCTTTTTGTTTTCCCTGATTCCAATTTTTTTTTTCATGTTCAAGTGTATTAGCCCCATTCTTTCAGCATCATGATACACAGTTTTGTATTGTGGTACCATATCGCAACATTTCAATATTGCAATTATCAATGCATCGATGAATCGTTACACCCCTACTAGTGTCAGAGGGCATACATGTACATGTGCAGCCCCCTTTTTTATTTTATTTATTTTTTTTTTTGGTGATCGTTTCAATTGAGCATAGTTACACTCCTAGTATCTAAACAAGGTGTGTACATTGTTCTTTGAACGGGTATCATTCCACTATGCATGTGCACCAAGTGCAGCGTTATTTTTGGCTGGAAATGCTGAAGTTTGAAAATGGCCAGTCCCATAGAGAGTCGGACTTAACAGATGCTAATCCCACCGGTAGGGGGTCATTAACAAAAGGCTTGTGCGACATTTCTCACTTGTGTCGTCGCTTTTTCAAAACTGAGATTATGTCGCAGAGTGATATTTTCCACAGGCTTGGCCGTGGCCCACAGCCGCTTGAGTGCTGCATTCATGCTCAGTCTCCATGGAGGACCAGGATAGATGTCACATGGTGCTACGTAGAGAATGCACCAAAACTGGTGTAAATGGCCTCTGCATTTTGAAGTAGGAACACCCTGCCTGTTTACGTCTTCCAAAGAGGACGTTTGAAGAGGTTATTTCCACTGATGATCCCATTTCCTTGCTTGTAGGTCACATCCATGGAGGTATCACCCAACTGCAGGTTTGTGGCCTCTGGTTCCAACGCCGGCACCATCAAAGTCTGGTCCCTGGGCAGGACTTCCCTGGGCAGCCTGATGGCGGAACTGACCGGCCTGTACAGTGACACCATCGTCTGTTTAGCCTTTGATCAACAGAGCCATTACCTGGTTTCAGGGGCACACGTCGGCCGGGACCAGTTGCTGATTTGGGATTTCCAAGGGAATAAGAGGAGGTACTGTCCAGCTGAAATGTTACTTCACTGATTTTTGCTCAGCACGTTAATTTTCCTCACATTGTGTTGCCCTGAGCTCTCCTGCCCACGAAAGAGTAGTCTGGGTTCCCTAAGCACAGAAGGTATTTACTTATCAAAGAGGCTGCAGGAAAAATCTTGATAATTGCTGTTTGCAGTCTCCACTGCCAGGAAAATAACGTCCTTTTTTGGTCCAGCTCGAGGCTCAAAGCAGCTACGTCTAGCTCTCAAGCTTTTGACAACAAAACTATGCCATTTGACACTAGTTCTGCTGCAACTCCTGCAGGACCCCCCCCCCCAACTTGCCAGCCTCGCTCTGACCCGGCAGTTGTCTTTGAGGTCGAGAATTTAGGGCATACCCTGTTTAGAAATTTTCTGTCCCCCTGAAGTTGAAATTTGGGCCAGCTTCACAAAGTTGGTTCAAGGGCCATTTCCAATCACTTGACTATGGCTTGACAATTACACGCAGCAGCCGCAACCATAGACTCTTGCGTAATTTCAAGTCACACTTATCAAAGAGGCCTGCAGGAAAAATCTTGATAATTACTGTTTGCTTGCACTTCACTGATTTTTGCTCAGCACATTAATTTTCCTCACATTATGTTGCCCTGAGCTCTCCTGCCCATGAAAGAGTAGTCTGGGTTCCCTGAGCAGTTTCTTGTTCTGTAGTGCAGAGTTGTAGTTGAGTCCGTTCCATGTCCCTGCAAATCCGTCACAAGGGATCCAGTCTTAAGCCAAGTCATGAACTATTCAAATGCATTGTCGACAAAAGCTTTTCCTTTTTTTATCATTGTTCACTCTGTTACTTATGACTGGTGTTGTGGAAGGATTTCTGACTGGACTTTTCAGGGATTCATTCCTTCCATGTAGTACATATCTTTAGTTTATTTCTTTTGGGGGGGGGCTTATTTGGTTTTGATGAACCTCTTGCATTCCAAAAGTTATTATGGTACATAAGAATCATTTTTAGTTTTCTGTTGTTTGTCTCTGGAAACTGTCAACAGGTACTTGGTTGGTCACACCCACGCTGTGATGTCAGTCAGCGTGACAGCCAATAACAAGTATGTCTTGAGCAGCTCACGAGACTGCACCATCAAGGCTTGGAGTCTGGAACACGCCAACCTGCTGGCTTCATTTGACTGCCAGTCACAGGTGAGTAGACCCATTTTAGTGAAATCCACAAAGGACGTATGAGTACAGTGCAGTGGCGTCGCCGGGGGGGCACGGGATATGTGCCCCCGGTTCCCCCCCCCGGTGCCCCCCACTGAAAACAAAAAGTGGATGAATGGATATTGAACAAGGCTAACAAAAACTCCCCCCCCCAAAAAAAAAAAATGCACCACTGAAAGCTGGTGCCCCTCATGAGATGCTGATGCCCCCGTTGTGAGCCCCCGCTAGTAAAATCCTAGCTCTGCCACTGGTGCAGTGTACAAATATTCATTGTCTTTAGTGGTGAAGAGGAACTAGCTTTCTGAGGTGATCTATTTTTCCAGAGGCGAAGCTGACGGAAAATAGAAAGTTTCGTGGCTCACTGAGGGATGCGAGTTTTTACTAAACCATGATATAAAGTGGTCAGTATTTGTTTTATTACAGCTGTCCTGCTGATGTGCTTGATTTCAATTTCAACTGTCCCATTTAAATAGAATTAAATTGTAATTGTATCTATATGCAACATTTGTTGGAAATTCAACAGTGATTTTTCAAACTGCTTCTTCATGGAATGTTTAAACTTAAAGTTTTTGAATATGTTCAATATGTGTTACCATACCCCTTATCCCCAATATTGGTTGCCATTCAATTTCTTGTGGAAAAAAAGTACATGCAGCAAACAGATTCAGACTTTTTTCGGGATGGTGAGGATTGGTCTCCTTAATTTTGACCAGAGAGATGGGATCTGGGTTGTTATGAATATGTAAAGTCAACTAGCTTCAGATATTGTCTGGCCATCTCTTTTAACAAATTTGTCAGTAGAAATTGTGAAGATGTACAACTCATTTATGGCACAAAACTTTCATGTGTGGATGTTTCTACATTTTATTACATTTTTATGTTTACTTCAACACCCTGGAGAATTTTTTTACATTTAAAAAGGCATGCAAGCTTAAGTTTGAACCAACAATAGAGCAATTCATGTTTCTAGAAAACCGCCGTTCCCTTATTCAGTCAAAAAATTGACGGAACACAATTCACCTGTCAGTTTTGACATTGAAATGGACATTGGTTTTTTTTTTTAAACAGAGAGCACCCTTTGATTTCATTTTGTTGTCTGCCTTGGGGGGTTTAAGAGGATGTGGAGTGTTGAAGTCATGGTAAAAATGGAAACTATCAGGAGATTGTGATGGTAATGTCATGGCGCCTCTGTTACTGTGTTTAGTGTCATGTACGGTATTGATGTTAGCGACAAGTGCTGTGGCCATTGTGAAATGTTTTCATCTTCCATTGAGCTGGTTGTTGAATCAACCAATATAGACCTTCCTTAACCCTAACCTTCCCCAACCACACAGTAGTAAACAGTAGTAAAGTGTTTAATTCTGTGGGGATAGGTCTAGTAGGCCCATAACAGCTGGCTTTTGCAAAAGTCCAACAGCCTCTGTGCACAATGTCCCAAATGGGTGTTTAACTTTGTGTGAATGGGTAAGGTCAGGTCCAGCAACCCTTGGGGGGTTAGGGTTAACCTTCAAGTTTCAGACTACCAAAGCAAGGAAATAGTTTTGTCGTACACAACGTAATCTGAACATTTTTATTTGCCAATTTAGATTAAATTCTTCAAATATGTGGAGATTGCTGAAGACCACTACCGTTTCATCGCCACAAACCAGTCAGGTACCATCGCCATGCTGGACCTATTACTGGAGGATGCTGATCGAGGTATGACGGATAAGCAGGGTACTAGACAGAGCTTGAACTTGCAGCCCTTGAGGTCGGAGGTCAGCCCTGGGGTCAGTGGGAATGCCTCTAATGGTTCAAGTCCTTACAATAGTCGTTATGAAAACAACCAAAAACGTAAGAAAAAATTGTCAAAAATTTGTGTAACAGTCTAACATGACGTATGAGAAAAAAACTTCTGGTTAAGCAATTGTCATAACATAATATCCATCATGTCTCTTGCAACAAATGCGTGCAAATACTTTCATAATGAAGTGCCTTAAAGATTTTTTACATGAGCAGTCTAAAAATTGGGGCCTGAAGTGAGTCTGTGTGGGAATTGTATATGCTTAGAATACTTAAGACATTACAAATTCATCTAACGAGATTACATTGTGAAGCAGTATTGATATATTTTTGACCAGATAACCTATACTATTTCAACGAGGTGTGTGAGGCTTTGTAGTTCTTGTCAAACAACTTTATTTTTATAGTGATATTAAAGAATTCTTTGCAATGTATTGTTTTGAATACAAACATCCAGGATGCATCTTTGTGTCTTAGTTGACCTCATTTTCAATTGAAGGGTATTTTGTTGCCTTTGTGTTTTGTTTTGCATTTTGCAAATATGTATTTCCATATTCATGAGTAAAAGTGTGACATCATCCTGAGAAGAAAACCTCACTGGTGCATTGGTTTGTGTGCAAAAAACTTACAGCATTTGTCAAAGATTTTGCTGGACTGAATTCATTTTTTCTTTGGAGAAATAAGAATGTTAAGAAACGTGTTCTCAGACGTGTTTGCAGTGTGAACATTCTGGATTCATAATATGAACAGAAATGCGTAGAGGTTTGCGCGTGTATAGAGGGGCTTGTGGGGTACCGCAACAATGGGAAGTACCCCATAGGGTACTTGTGGGGTACTGAGATGGTACCCGACAAGGATTTCACGAAATAGATATTTCAGATTTACTCAAAAAGGAGGAATTTTCAGGTGCCATTCATCTGTCGCAAAATGAAGTATTTTAATCAATTTGAGGCAAAATAAATTGCAGCTTCAAATAATTTATCACCGCGGGACATTGGAGGCTCTTGTCACTAAGTGGGTCAGTAGTGATCACTTGCGGTTGCTGGCACGGTGATTTAATGCCTTGAACTAGTTACTGGCGTGACCTTAAAAATAGTAGTAGCACTGGAGAGAGTTACCCCCGGTCACTTTTGCTTGAGCAGCCGTGGCGTTTGGTTGGAAAAGAGAAAATCTGTCTGTTTTGCAAAATTCAAATGGGAGTGATGTGAAAATGTGTGCGTGTTGTGCGGGAGTTTTGTACACGAGAACAAAGGGAATAACCCACAAGTATAGCTGTGTAAGGTTGGGTGCACTGAACTGTGTCTTCCCTGGACGACAGCACAGCAACAGCGCCGTTAGTTGTCAAGGGAAGCATGGTTATTTTCAAATTACATGTTAAATGCAATTTAAATTCATTTAACTTAATATAGTAGATATGAGATAGCTTTCATTAACCAAAGAAAAATGTGCAGTTGAATGAAAATGTTTCTAACACACTTTCATTGCTTCGACTTTTCTTTCAAAGTTTTGATAATGTATGCATGATTTTTCTTTTAAGTTTTGCACTCAGTTTTGAACTTTGAAGTTTTGCAGTTTTGCTTGCAAATATTTCACCGTGTGCAATTGATCCATAGACTAAGTGTGTGTCTAAGATTTTGTAGGAGATAGTCCTTCTATTTATCACAGTTTTCACTGCAATCACTCAGAGTTCTAGTATTAAGTAAGTGCCTGGGTATTGTTAACAGGCCCAAATACCTTTATTGTAGTTAATAGCTTATAACCACTGTATAGTTGTTTTTATTTTATTGTTTCCATTTTAAGATGTATTCAATGCCTATGAAGCTCATTTTTAAAATACATTTTTAAAGAAATGTATTCCTCTTTCATATGTGTAACATGAATGTTCATTTCAGGGAATTCAATGCAGACCAGACCATGCAGGGTAAGTTGGGTTTCTTGAACGTCTCAGGTTTAATGCCAACCTTTCTGTTATATTTCTAAACAAATTAATCCAGCTTTCGTGTCTTTGAAAAAAAGTTTCATTAAAAGCAACAAAAAAGTATTGAAACACCTTGTTAACAGTTTTTGTTCCAAATCTCTGACTGTTCAGCACTTTATTGGTTAAATAGGACCTTTGTAATCCGAGAATGAACCCAAGGGTTTCATATATAAAGTTCAAATGCACTCTAAGGGATTTTTACCTTTGTATGTTTTAATCACTTTGTTGTTGTTTATGTAATGTTATTAACCCTAATTGTCATGCATGAGGAATAACCACAAAGTGTTTGCTTCCCGAAGATGTTAGATTTTAGAGGCTGATTGATTGTTTTACTTTTTGGTTATAGTTGATACTAAATAATTTCATTAACCCTAAATATATTGTGCATGAGGAGTACCCCAAATTGTTTAGAACCAAAATATCATATTTTGAAGGCTGACTGTTTTGTCATTTTAATATTGTGTGATGTCATAAACAATAAAATACAAATTTAAGCAAATTACTAAATTCCCTTTTCTTTCTGAATCACCCCCAGGTCTTTTTTGCTCTCTTGTTTAATTGAAATTTGTGGAAAATTGTTCTCCACTTTTGAAAGAAAAAAAATAGCATGTAAAAATGGACTGCTGCAGCAATAACATCGGAATGTTAAACCCTACAGAAAACTAAATGAAGACTTTCACCTGAAGAGTTTTTATCGCAGTGTATAATATGAACAGAACTGCCAATTCTTTTCCATTCTCTTGACATCCCGCAGATACGAAGAACAAGAAGTTAATCAGGAATACAGAATAGCATAATTTAACATATAAATACAAAACAAACATTAATGGAATTAATTAAAGCAAAATAAAATATGCCTTAAAATTCAACATTTCTTCGAGTACCTCGCTAACTCGGTAAATAAAAAAAACACCTCTCCAACATTTTCGATAAGTACAGCCGCTTCAATCTTTTTATAGTTTGCCTTTAGAATAAAAGGATTGAGTACATTTTACTTTCTCCGAGTTTACTTCCCAGTTTCAAGATTTAACTCGCTGTCTGCAAGTCCTCTAAAGGTTGGGTGCCACGTGATGAGAATCGCTGTACCGTTTGTTGATGACGTGAAAAAGCCTGTCCAGAAAAACAGAAGCAAAGTCGACATTTTACCGAGCAAGTATGAACTTCTACATGCTTTGCTAAGCCCTGTAAAGAAAAAAGTGGAAGTGTTTTTTTTTCTGGGTTGGATATTAGTTGAACAAATTAAAAGTGCGAAACATCGATTCTGTGCATTTTGAACAGACAACAATGTGAAAATGTCTCATGATTTTCAAAGTTAGCTCATGTGCCGATTTTTATTTTAATAGCCACTCATGAAAAAGTGTTATGAAAAGTTGTCCAAACGAGGATATATTTTAAAAGACTATCAGCCACAAATCAAGAATTAGGGGCATGCACACGCAGGGTAAAATATTCATTTGCTGCAATTAAATGGAATTTCACATTTGGTCCTCTGAAATTTTAAAATAAAAGCATTTCAAATATTTAATTTCACTCTGCAAATGAAACACATATTAACCAAGAAATTACTAGAATATCCCAGCAGTTTAAGGGTGATAGGGGCCTATGTGTAAAGTACTCAAAATGACGTACGCGACTAATATAGATGGAATAAACGTGACTCCTGCTATCAAGAAATACACAAACGTTGGTTGGAATGCCACGGTAGCCATGTAGACCGCGTTAATGACAATTGGAGAAATGTACGTGCCGAAGTTCTCAACACAGGCGAAGAATGAAAAGGCAACACCTGAAACAGCAGGAAATTAAAGAGAAGGCGTTGTTCTTGCATCCTTTTCCATTGCATTTCAGATGTCAGGTGCATTTGCAAAGGCAGCAGTGATCAAGTTTGCCAATTTAGACATTCCACGTACTGCAGGTAGCTAATTATTGACAAAGTAGTGGTCATCGAGATTAATAACACACGAACGCAGTCAGGCGTTCGTGGGAGATAAAATTAATAACGTCATTGTGAACGGCGTCATTGAAGCAAATAAAAAACTAGGAAAGTGGCTTCCCGTTCATTAAAAAGGAGAAAACAAAATTTAATTAAGAAATTTGCGGGAAAATTGCAGTTTTCAAATTTTTGATGACATCATGCCTCCGTTTAGAACTCTATTTTTCCATCTAAACTTAACACTTCTTATTAAACCTAAAGAAGAGCATCGATTGAGCACACATTAACTGTTAATTGGCTTCAAGAATAGAGAAACGAAGGCCGTACTTCTAATGCTAACTTGCAGTCTCTATCGAACACACTCTCCGTTTTGTCGGTCTCGTTTCGTGATTTCTGTATTTACTTTTAATTTTTGAACATACCTTGTTCGTCTGCCCGGACCAGTTTGGAAAGCGAACCTCTGATAACAGGGAAACACAGTCCTGCAAACACTGTGAGGATTAGCGCTGCAAATAATCAGGCAGATAGTCCTTTTTCCAAAACTACATTGTTACAACAATGACATACCGCTGCTGAAGGTACGGGAAAGAAAACGTGGTTTGGGCAACTCTTGAAAAAAGTCAGTCCAAAAAGAAACAGAACCGAATGTTTCGTGTGAGTTGAATGCAATATTGTGTAAGTTGTACTTCATTTGAGACTTTGGTCATTGGAATCAGCTGTATGATATATAGGCCCCCCCCTATGTCTTTTATATATAGGGAATTGTTATACGGGTATGCTATTTAAAAAAGGTACTCAAATGTGTTTTATGTACATGAAAATGACTGCGTCATAATAAGCTTGGTTTAAATGTTGCTTACCATTTAAGGATGAACTGCTTACCCAAGAAAAATAGTGTCGATGTTCTGACGAGCCCCATAGCCGCAAACGCCATGATAGCACTGATGCAACTGATTTGGAAGATCCAATGGTCACTGAAACATCTTGTCAACAACTTGAAGCCTCCAATGTTACCTAATTGCATTAACATGCCGGTATGTTCAGGATCTTAATATGAAACTCTATACTGATATTGTAAATTTACTTGTAAGTTTCGATTATAAATTTATGAACCGCCTTTAAACATCGATCTTTGCGCAATCAGGAAAAATAAGGACAAATTTTTCGGAGAGATGAATTAAGGGCGATCACTCTGAACCATCACTTAAAAAAAAAATCAGTATTTGTCCAATCGATTCAGAAAATGCAGGAATACCAACAACAACATGTATTTGAAACTTACGTGTATTCAACCAGCTCAACCCGAGCTGTGATACTTTGTTAGTATGTACCTTGGGCTGTCATTGAGATTTGAATCCAAGTGACATATACTTACCAATTAACGGGATACCACATGCAAACGCGGTGTAATATCCGATAGTCATCGATGACCAACAGAAGGGTTCGGCTTGAGCATACAAGATTCGAACCTGGCCTGACGATACCAAAGGTGTCAACGAAAAACAGGTAGCGTAGATGAGAAGCAAGCAACAGGTGCGCACGGCGCCTCCCTTGAGGTATAACAATCGTCTGATGTTCCGTAGACTTTGTGTAAGTTTCTGTTTCTGGCCATCCGATTGCTGACTGTTCATCTGGATCGTTTCGATCAGAGCACCGGGTATCATCAAGTAGACACCGGCAAGGACACCGAGAGTTGTCGCGATTCCAGCCGCTGTTGCAAAGCCAAGAGCTTCATTGAGATATTCCATGCCGATCTGTATAAGTCCAGCAAAGACGAAGACCGTCTCGATCACAACTAGCCTAAAAGTGCGCTCCTCCTTGGAGGTGACGTCTGCGATGTAGGAGAAGGATATTGCGAGCATCAGCGTCAGGCCTCCTGTCAGGCCCATGGCAAGATCACCGGCGAAAAATACCTCCAGAGGAAGGTTGAAGACCATGACGGCCGTACAGACGCCGGCGAACGCGACACTGCCAAAGGTGGAGAGGGCGAGGAACATCTTGCGGCCGAACCGGTCGGACAAGGCTCCGAGGATGATGGCAGACACGAAGCCTGGAAAAGCTCCGACGAGGTTGAAGAGCAACATCCAATGAGCTGCGTCCGCCTGGATCTGTGCCTCAGTGTCGTCATCCGTGGAGTTGGCAGTCTGATTCCGGTCTCGACAAGGTGAGTCTTTGTGAACGGTGTAGTTGTACGACTCTTGCACTCTCACCAATACGTACTGGATGCGCAGGATACTCGTCACGATGGAGCTGGCGGAAGCCAGGAAGAGTACGGGCTCGACCGTCACCCATCGACTCATCGCCCTCTCTCTTCCAGACAACGTTAACGCAGCCTTTTTCACCAGTGGCTCGGTTTCACAGTTGGGTGATCTGTCTGCCTCGTTGCGCGTCTCCATGTCGAATAGGCCTAGGCCTATACCATTCCCCTTTTAGCGCTACTTAACCCACCAGGATTACTAAAACGTGGTTGTCGTGTTCAACAGGCTGTGGGAGCAATAATAAACGCATCTTTTTTGCAGCTGGTGATGACGTTAAACAACCGAACTCATCGCCGTGAGTTCTAACATATTGATCCCAGCATTGACACAGAACTTCGTTGAAGCTAAAATCACCACAAAACTTCACGTTGTCCTTACCTGACCCCAGACGTGACGAGATGTACTGGTTGGCAATTACGATGTCGATGGAGTCCTGTCATTGCATTAAATGTGTGCACGATGACTGGGCGGTATGCCTTTGTACTTGTTCAACTTCCGTATACGGATAGGACACTGTGGGGTCTCTTAGAGTGACCCAGAGCTTGCAACCTGCCATGCAAAAGCATACTGCGTCAAGTTATTTGTGTTTACGTTTTAGACTCAGTAAATGTATTTCTGTGAGCACTGGCACGATTTATTCTTTTCAAATGAAACTGGCACGATTTATTCTTTTCAAATGAAAAAGACAGAGTGGCACCTATGGAAAAGAAGTGTCGGTTGTGCCCCCTTTCAATACTTGTGATGGCCGAAGCAGACTCCGCCTGGCCCGACTGGGTCCCTATAGGCCCTACAGCCATCGCAGGGCACAAAAGCAACATGTTTGTGTGGCCGGCTTGTGAGTTCAGGGCTATGCTGTCTGGTTAATTTGTCTGCTTATCCACCACTTCCCTAGGATGTATGATTGATGGTCTACAGTTGAACCTCGTTAAGAAGAGGTTCTTGGGACTTTACAAATGACCTTGTTTTAAGAGGAACCTTTTATTATCAGGAGTGGAAAAAACAACAACAAAGACCTAAACTTTTTCCTTGTTATGACAGGAACCTTGTATTAACAGTGCTCTTCTTATTGAAGTTTGACTGTATTTATTACAGCGACTGTTGGATATAATTGGAAGCAAGGCCAGGCTGCACCTGACTTTTATTGACCAGTATTATTCGAATCATGAGTCCTGATGAGCAGAATCACGTACTGCTTAAGCTCCTAAAAATCCTGATCTATTTAGCAGTTATAGCAAAATCTTAAACCAATTTAAACAAGATATTTCAGTTGAGTAGTAAAATAAATGTAATCAACAGTTTTCATGAAGTGTTTGGAGAGTAGGCGGAGGGGTTTTGCCTTACTGCGCAGCTTCAATAGCTCAAGAGAAAAAGATGAAACCGGCCATTTTAGATGATCTCAAGTTTTTTATGTGCCGGGCAGAGCTAGAGCTGTGATGTTTTTGTCTGCACGTAGAGTTGGTCTATATATTATTTTGCACATGCTACAGAAAACTCAGTGGCAGATTGTAATCCTGTGCTTCGTTTTTTGTTTAAGTTCATTTTACAATTCAGTCGGGATTAATGGGAATTTCCTTTGCCCTCATTTAGGCCTACATGTATTTTGACCTTGCAGAAACAAAACAAACTTCAGTTGTTGATGCTTAGATATTCTTCTTTTGTTGTCCTTTGGGAAGAGTTTTCCCTGATGTTTACTGATAATGAATCCAAAAGTAATCTTCTTATGCTCTTTAATTTTTTTTATTTTATTATTTTTTTTCCAACCGCGGGTCGATCTGAGACCGTAGACGTGATGAATATTTTTAGCTGCCACAGCGCCCTCTTGTAGTATTTGCCGCAGAAAGCAATCGCCATTGTTCCTAGACGTCTCAGCGTTCATTCACATTCAATTTGTGCATGGGTTCCTGTTCTTTTTAGAGCACGCGCATAAAATTTGAAGTGAAAACGAAGAGCGTGCTCCATGTTGGTAAGTTTTCTTGGTACTAAAGTCTTATTTCTACGGCTTCAGTGTCCTAGAATTCAGCGTTATTTGATGTTTTTTCACTCTTGACTGATTAGTGTAGTGGTTAAATCAACTGTCGTGAGATGAAAGTGAGATGTTAGCATGGTTAGGGAAGTAAATATAGATGATTGCACTACACCAAATACACGCCCACAGAAAACAGTGCAAAATCGGACCGAAATAGCGCTGCCTGTTGACTCGTGAAGAGGTTGGCTTAGGCCTACGTTTTTTCACTGGAAATTCAAAATTATGGCCAGAAGATCACTTTTCGTTTCAATTTCATGGGGGTTAGCCACAAAAATATTTTTTTTATTCGTCTTTCAAGGAAGATACCTAAACAGCATTATAGTAAGTGCTCATTTTTCAATGTACCCGCCCACCTATCCAAAATAGGCCCGCAATTTGTAGCCCCACTAGCGTGGCACAGATCACTACCGATAGGATAAATCGGGAGTGATCCGTGCCACACCAGTGGGGCTACGCAATTTGGGGCTTTTTGTGAAAGAAACACCCCGAACTGGAATTTTGGATTTATAGAAATATTTCTATGATACATCCTGATTATGACCAGTCTTATTGTAAAAATCCTGTGGGATCACAAAATATTAATGAGCTCACGTGCAGAAATAAAATGATTTGGTGAAATGCACCCTGACACAGCAGCTAACGTAACGGTAGACATTCTCGCTGTTGGGATGACATCGCTGAGTCTTGATTCTTCACTCTGATTGGTCAATTGGTGGCCATTCCATATCATATACCAAAAACTAAGGCTGAGTAAGGGAAAAAGTTCCAAATATACGGACACCCTAACTTTCCCTTAACCCTATTTCCTAGGGACCATTGAAATCCTGCATAACTTGTTTTAGTGACTAACTGTGGTTTAGTGATGCAGTTTGAGAGAAAAACAAGAAAAAAAAATATTCAATTGACGTATCTTGATTTCCCACCACTTTCTCTTTTATCTTTTTTTTATTTTTTCAAATTCAATTCAAGGTGAGGCGTGAAATTTTATCTTTCAAATAAATCATAATTAGCTTTGTTTTTAGTAATTGATCTAGGTACTATGAATAAAACTTCTCTAAGTGTATTTCTGAAAAAAATGACAAAAAATGCTGCCGAATCCAGGCTTGTTGTCGACAACGGAAATCTGAAAATGATATAAATGCACAGTGCTTTTTCAGGTGTCATATTTTTGATAATGCCCTCAACACAATGTAGTTTGCAAAAGTTTATCAAAGTCGTCAATTAGTGTTCATATCATACGTCCAACACCGATGGTGAGCGCACAGTGATCATTTATCCATTTTCTTGACGATTTAAACTGAGGGTACATTTTTACGTTTAGTCTGTAAAGTAAAACTTTATGCTCTACTGACAATATTTCCAAATTCTCACAGGAAAAGCTTTCAATTCACACATACGGTCACTGCACACAAAGAAAAATGCCAAAGTGATAATTGATTATTGACAGTAATTTAATGGCAGTGCGTAATTTTGTGCAAGAGTTTTACAAGAAAGTTGGATGTGTAAATACCTGAATGCGTGAATTTAGGGTGTTCCACAATACCCTGTCATGGTTTGGCCCCTAATGTGGCACAGTTGGATTTTTCACCAATATTGCCATACTAGAGAAATATTTGCTCCTCAAGTTTCACGAGAAGTGAAAAATCATCACACCCTGACTACATGTATGTGGTACACTGCTCATCTTGCTGTTACAGTGGTAGATCAAACGATATGAAAGTTTTACCTAAAAAGATTCATTAAGGTGGGTTTTTTTTGCTTGTTCATCAGTAGAAAAGAAATTTTTAGGTACATGTAACAACAACTGAGGGTGGGATTTTTAAATGTTTAACAAAAAAAGTTTCAAATCCGTTTACAGATTTCTCCAACATTTAAACAAAACCGCCCCTTTTGAGGGTTTGACGTTCTGATTGACACAATCTGGCATTCATTTTTATGGTAAATGATGCCTGTTTTTACAGTCTGTTTTTTCCATTTTGGCATCCGTGTACTTTAAAAAAAATTAGAATCTAAAACAATAAACATTGCTTTTTGTAAATGCCCCAATCTAATCATTACCTCAAAATGGTGCACTCTTGACACCTGTTAATCTTCTGTGTCAATAATAATTTCTGCCATACTTATTGAAAGTATGTGCCACATGCCACACTGAGGTGAAATGTCCAATGCGCATGCATAGTTTCCCTGTATGTAGCATGCCAAATGACCACACGGCCCAGTTCAAAGAAACCATCATCTCCGTAAATTTAACCAAACAAAGTCCAGTGCAAAGAGGGCTTTAGAAAGTGGGAAATATAACGTTTAAGTTGCAAAGTAGTCCTAGTTCGTGAATTCACGTCAGTTAGCATCCCAGTGCTCGATCCAGCATCTTCGCAGTAGAGTGGGTGCGGACGCGGTGGAAAATACTCAACTTTCATTTTTTTGTTGTTTCGATAATAATTAGTGACTTCCAAATGTTTTTTGGGTGTTTATTTCAAATGAGAGCTACAATTCTCTGTAATTTGATATCACATTTGAGGCAGCGATGCTTTACTGTTTGGAAGATATGACAAGGATGGCGCTTTTCAGCCATGCCCATTCCATTTGGCTCTGAATTGCTTGGTAATGCTCCCACATTTTATACAGCGCTTAATACCCTTGCCAATAACATGCACTTACAATAATAACTACATGTAAGGTTGGTACTTGGAATAAACATTTTCCAGTTACTGACTGTAGCAATTGAATGCTTGAAACTACATCTTATTGGATTCCTGGAAGTGGCTGTTCAGTTCAAACTGAGTTGTAGTATATCTTGCCCATAATCAAAACTAAGACAGGTCTCACCACCATACAACTTTATTTGGGCTGCAGACAATTCACCCCCACCCTCCCAAATCCTTTAAACTCCTTTTCTGCAAAGTGGAGGAATTTGGAGGACTCAGAGTGTATGGCAAAAGTGCTTGGTTGATTACAAAGGATGCCATATGTGAAGGTCGCGGATTAGACCTTGTGTTTGTTTTGCTTAGTCATGCATAAATTCAACCCGATATTTCTTTTGAATCAGCCGCACTGCTCTAGAATGCCATTCAGGATTTGGAAGGATTGAGGCAGTAGGCGCACCTCCAAGTAACATTTTTTTTAAATTTTGGAGGATTGAGGGAGAATCCAGTTTTTTCACCCCAAAAATTGAAGGATTGTGGAGCATTTAGGAGGGTCCCCAGCAAAAAGCGCCTGGGGTTAGGGTTAATAAGTAAAATGGAGAGGTATTGTGGAAGGTGCTGTGCTGCCCGGTGCCCCTCAGGGACATGATGACTGTGAATCCCAACTTTACGATAGCTTAACTTTTCCTCCTTCAGATTGATGATAATAAAGCAAGATCTCATTCAGCATATGGTCTACATTTCCAGTCAGTGATGCTTGGCCTGTACGGACTCCTACCGAAGAGATTCTATCTCCACTTACAGAGTTCTTGGATGCTATCAGAGAGTAAGATCTTTTTTTCATTCTTTAAACAGTTCATTCAATTTTTCAAGAGGTTTGGACTAGTTGAAGGCATGTTCTTGACTGTTAGCTACATGTAGGGGTCCCACCTGACAGATTTGCAAGTCCTCGACACCTCCAGGAGTTGATGATGTGTGACAGTGCGCCTCCAGCCAAGCACTCCTGGTTCTCCTCCCCATGAGCATGGCCAGTATCAGGCACAGTTGTATTGCGGAATTAAGAGTGCAAATGCTGCTCTTATGAACACATTGGGTTCCAAATCCACACAAAAGTTGGGTATGGTGGTTATTTAGTATAATGCCATTTAAGTTGTGACAAAGAGCAGAGATGCTGTCGCGGTAATGTTTCCAGTCCTACCAACAGACCCACACTTGATCTTGTTTCACGTTTTCCCAGTCAAGTATGGGGGAGGATGGGGGCATGTGCCCTCCTCCAGCAGATGCCCACACACCCTGGTGACCCCCCCACCCATTGGAAATCTCCATTGAGTTTAAATAGCTGTGCAGCTACGGCTTATTTTCTTGTGGTGCCCCCTTGAAAAAATGTGTACACCCCCGGGTTCCCCCCTCCCCCCATCGGAACTTGACCCTTTGTTACGCCACTGGCTCGGTCACTGACAGCTTTGTGTTGACATGTTGACATTATTCCGACATTATTCTGGCAGCTTTGCATCTTTGTTCCCGAGCACAAACAATGCTACTGTCAAAATTGTTGTGAAAATGAAGTTTTGAAAATATGATCCTGCAAAATATTTGAAATTGAATAAGAGAAGGGTTGCTCTTTCCAAATATTGCAAAACCCCCAAATTGACCTCCAGTTCATTATGACTTTGAACCCTCAAAGGAAAGAGCGGGATGCGACTTTACTCTCGGGTTGTTGTGACGTGCCAAAGCTCATTCGATGACCGACATGTATTTTGTAAGCAATTACATTGAAATGTAGCACCTGTAAGAGACGGATTATGCAAAAGTTTTGGATCATTTGTGGCACTACGACAAATATCTAATGCCTTTTGATCATTTTTGTTGCTTGTGGAAAATGTCTTTTTCATCGAACAAAAGCTTGCTGCTTTCAGCTAACGTGCAGAGCACATGTGTGGTGGCTGGTACATGTACATGTACATGTATGATGTACATGTACACAGGTACCGCAGATCCAGAACCAAATTAAGCTATGTGATGCCTACAATCTTATCAACTTGTGCCAAATCTACTGAAATTAGCCAATTCAAGATGATTGCGGTAGGGCAAAGTTCAACTGAATCACATTTTCCGGTATTTTCCGACTTCATGAAGAGACAACATTGTCTTCCGTAGGCATACCGGTAGCATTAGCAACCAAGGGCAAACTTTGTTTTACATGTTTGAGACTCTGAGACAAAGCTGACTCCAGAATTGTATGTAAATGTAACAGTTTTACACCTGACATGCACTATGGCCAAAATCTGAACTGTGTTGTCGTCTTCATGAAGAGACAAAAGTGATACAAATTTTATCACTTTCATGAACAGACAAAAGTGTTTGTTTACAAAATAAACAAATTAAATTAATTTCTGTGAAACTTATTTTGTAGTTTTGTGTCATTTAATATCCATTCTTTCAGGAAGTACAATGTTGCATTGGTTTTAGTCAAAGGAACGCTAAAATCCTGGAGAAACTAGTGTTTGAAAAAGAGACCATCAACTTCAAATGCAATTTTCTGGACAACTTGTTTTTAAACTCAGGTGAGACTTTCGTCTCTTCATGAAAACAGTGATTTTATGCAGGTTGGAGAGTAGAACATGGCGATGGTCGTTATGATGTTCATGGTATCTTGTACATGTATGTTCAGAGGGTGTGTTGAGATACATGTATGTACCTGTGTAGTGGATTCCAATCAGTGGCGGCAAAGTTGGGGGGGGGGGAGAGTGGTCCCCTGCCCTCACCCCTCCGCTGCCAGTGATTCCAATCATCCCACGATGAAGCAGTTTCTGAACCTCCAGATAGATTTTTGGACCAATTTCCTGATTTTTGTGAATCAGACAGGTCAGATTTGGAAATGAGAGCACTAAATGCAGTGCACCTTTCGATTGAGTGATATTGCTTGGATATATGCACCATTCAAAAATGAGTTGTAAATGGATAGGTGTAGATGCCGGTAAGAGGCAGAATTGAAATTGAATCAGAGAAATGCCATCATCTAGTTATATCTGCATAGGGAATCCCTTGACACCTTGATCATTAGAGACACTCGTTAAAAGCAGTACTGCGGTGCTTAAAATTTGTCGTAAGTTGGTTTGCGATGCAAACTGTATGTACATGCGAAAGAGCAGGGCTGTGAAAATTTAGCAGGGCGGCGTACTCCTAAAACTCCATCCATAGAAGGCTGACCCAACCGCTGAAAACCTTGACTCGTTAAATTCAAGCTTAAAGTTTAAATTAATTGCCTGCATGTCATCAAACTTGTCCACCTGTTACTTAAAGATAATGTAGAGCTTCATCAGATCCATCAGAATTTACAATGAACTGAGTCATCATCGTAGAATTGAATGGCCATCAGGCAGCATTGTTCATGGGGAGATAAATTATGGAGGAAGGGGGCAAAAACTATGATGGTGGTACCCTCTTAAAAAGTTTGGACTACTGCCCCCTTTAAATCCTGTCAGGTTGAAATTACAAGTTTAAAGTGAAATCGTCAGTTTTTCATGAGGAAACATGCTATTTGCTTACCGGTAATCTCCCCTAGATGAAGAAAGATGCACCAGACTATTGGCAGACTTATGAATAATCCGCAGTCATCCATTCCTGAAACTGGAATGTACCCCAGTAGCGAAATCAACTCTTACATTCAGATTCAAATATGTGTCCATTCAACAGCTTTACAAAGTTAGTGAAATGTGCAAAGTTCACTTTCCTTCACCCAAAACACAATATTACAAATTCAAAAACTTCAGTTACTTAAAACCATAGAGCTACAGTATATTAAATGACTAGAGTGCTAACTTCTCATTCTCCGGGTGGAGAAAAGTTGACGCCGTCCTGGGCGCATACATTTTGACTCCCTGTGCGTGTTTGTAGAGCATTCAAAATCAGACAAATGAATATAAACTCTAAATGTAATGCACATTGGGTAACAATAAAATCCAGATGAAATCCACTGTCAAATTTATACATGTATGCAGCGCACATGCGTGTGTGTTTGTGCTGTTTACGCAGAGCTAACATTTACATGTAGGTTTTTTGCGTATTGACTTTTTTAATGCATTGCTTGCAGATATGTGACCCGGTATGTCGTAATCAGGAATAAGTCGCTGAGGCCGTTTGACATAATGGCCAATTAACGTGGGGATGTGGGTAAATGTTGGAAAAATTGATGTAGCAGTGTCTGCATATTTTGGAAGTGTAGGTGTGAAAGGTTACCATCAACACACTTGTAATGTGTACCATTTGAAAGCTTATGAAGTTCTCTTTCTGACTGTGTACATATCTCAAAAAGTCAATTTGAGACTTATTCCTGACATCGATGTGCTGGGTCACATACACAGACATGGACACATAATTGTACGAAAGCCGTACAAAATGGTCAAGTTTTCAACGAATGTCAAGTACATGTACATTTCGGTTTGTGCACAGACATGGATGAGCTCAGCACAGATCTCTGTACGTACATGTACATGAGTCAGCGCTCTAGTTTATACAGTGTACATGTATGCACATTAACGCTGTGCTTGAAACATGTTTGGTTAGACTGTCCATGGAGCTTTGATGACCCAAAAAAATTGTGGTTGGCTATTTATTGAGTACTGTACTTGTAAGGCCAAGCAAAAGATATTTAGAAAATGTCAGTAGGCATCTTCTTCTTGTTGATATTTTCTACTCTTCCTGAGACCATGTGCTCAAAGTTTTACTCTTCATTAAAGTTTGCATACACAGACACGTAGTTTGAAAGATCGAGGGCCCCTGAAGTTACTTCCTTTGTTGTAAGTTGAAATGCGTTGGAAGTGATAGGAAAACACAGCCTGGTGGCCTCCATCTTACATGTACAACCTCTTATGGAGAAAGCTCTCCCCTCAGAACCTTGAAGTATCAGTACACGTGTGTAGTCTCGCACATGTACCGACAGTGTGTAAATTAGAGGGTTAAAATGAAGTTAAATGCTGTCATCAAACATTTTTAGCCAGCAGGTGCATACATGTACATGTACATACAACCTAAGGTCAAGCCAGAAATTTGCCATGTTCATGATCTGCCCCAAGTTTAGGTCATATTTACCTTCATAAATGACATCGGGCGAAAGTTTTACTTTGGGTAAACCCAACAGTCTGGCCCCTTCTCTATTTAAAGGCAATTTGAGCATGCGGCCTTTCACCACCGGTGGTCACCCTTTTTGAATCATGTTGTACTTTGAAAGAGACGTGCGGAATCAAGTTCAACAAAAAATCCAACCCGTCTATGCTGTAATGCAGCTGTAATGCCGGCACCATGACGCAACCTCTTCCTCCTGGCGGTATCGGCTGGGACGAGGTTTGGGGATGGAGTGCACTGAACACCAGTCTCTTATCACCTGTGAGAAAAAGGCGTTTGTCTAGATCTCTTCTGGGTCTGTCTTGGCTTTCTCTGTTACTCTCTCTTCTTGGTGGAGTTGGGCTTTGCGGTTTGGTGTCCGCCTCCTTCCCCTGGTAAATCTCTTCTAAGGCTTGTGTCTGACCTTCCTAACAATGAAGGTGATCTGATTTGTTTGCGATTAATCTCGCTAACTAAACATGCTCAAGTGTCCTCTGTTTGTTTTGATCTAACCGCGCTTCTAACGCTTCAACTTCTTGATTCAGCTGCTCAATTTGTGCAACTCTGGTTGTGAGCACTTCTCCTAAAGTACCTTGTTGTTCATTTGCTTTTAACAGCGATTTTCTTAGTTCTTTGTAGCACTTCTGGATCTGGTTCTATTTCCCTTCTATGCTCTCTTGCTATTTCTATTTCAGTGGGTCTACTGTCTGAGTTGGCATGCCA